TTGCGTGTACCTTTTCAGAATTCATGATTTTTTTAACAGAGGCAAATTACATGTCTTTATATTTCTATGTTTTTGCCAAAACTATCGTAACATTTTCCAAATATTTTCAAACTTCAGTTAAATTGTCATTTACTTTGATTATGGGAAAAAATTAAGTCCTTTTTCACCAATACGAAAAAGTTTTTTTGTTTGTTTCATAAGTAGCGTGAGATACAATTCATATAATTTCGTGAAAATAATTTTTCCTTTTTTTGGAAAAGTTTTTTGCATTGTTCTATGCTATTCAAAGTCAGGAGCGTTTAGGGATGTGGTAAGAGAAGCATTAACATTCATAGGACAAAAAAAGGAATACAAAAGAAACTCACCTGAGTTTGTATATTTGCAATTCTTTATGTAACTTTTGACTTTTTGAAGTTTTCTAATTAGGAATTATGGAATCAAAAGTTTTACTCTTATTACAATTTTATTCTTTTCTTAAGAAAAATATGAAATGGAAATATTTTCAATTTGGTTTTTTTTTCGTAGATATTAAAAACTTTTTAAAAGCTCCATTTAGAACCAGTGAATTAGACTAATTTAAATACCCAAATTTTGTATATGTTAAGTAGGAATAATACTATTAATTGACACTGGAATCGGTTTCTTAACACAATCTTTAGAAAGAAACTTAAAAAGAAATTAAAAAATCTATAAATTTCTATCTTAAAACAACTGAAAAAACTATATTATTGCATTACATTTAAAATTAGTTTCAATTTACTTTCTAAACTGTTTCCTTAGAAAATGTTTTAAAAGGTTTAAGATGAAGTAGTAAGCAAGCTAAGTGGAAAATATAGTAAGCATTCAGATTCATACTCTCTGAATTGATATTTATATTGTTTGTTGGCCATAAGCAATTGCTTTCTTCTCATCGTCAGTATAAAAGTATATAATCCACAAGATATTACCTTATGAAGTAACAGATTTTAGGTTCTTAACATGCAGATATAGAGGAGAATGACCAGAATGATAAGCCGTTCCTGTTCTTGGTAGTTACAGACGAGTAAAAGTTCACGATCACTTCCTGTGAGTAACCAAAAAGTGCTAGATGTATTATCGACAGCAGCCTAGCTAAAAGTGACACAAGTTTTATGCTTCGAATCTTGAAGTAAAAACTTGATGATATCGAATAAACGATATAATGCTGTGCAATAGGTGTAGTGCATTTTATTAAGAAAGACAGTGCGAGAATAACTAAATATATTCCAAAACAATTATAGAAAATGCTGTGTTTATATTTTAATCACAAGAAAATATTATATATTTTAACTCATATGTTTCATTTCATTTAAATATATAAGATGTTGGATTTTTTTATTTTTTACTTCTTGTTGATTCGGAATGATTGGACCTTACTCTGGGGATTACGATTTTTGCTCTATTGTTTCTATGACCGTGGGGATAAGCCGTATATTACTTTTTATTTTAATTAAAAATATTATGTCTTATTACAATAAATCTATTTGGAATAAGAAAATCCTATAGCTGTGTCGAATATTGCCAAATATGCTTTATGAGTGGTTTTTGGAAACATTTATTTATATATTTAATCGCATATAATTTTGAGATTATAAGTGTGACACATTGTACTCTGACAAGTTTGAGTCTTAAACGCGTATTTCCACATAGACCCGCTGTAAATCTAATCTCCGTTATTTAAATTTAGAGTTATATCACTTTTCGCTGATTCTTCTTAAGCAGTCATTGCACTTGTTGTATAAATTATCTCTATCACTGTAAATTGGTGGAATAAGAATTTTGTGATAATGGTATTTTTCGCGTAATTTATGTAGTTTCAGCAGTACCAGAATGGCAAAGATCTCATAACAACAGTAGTATTATTATGATGAAGTAAAAGAAGAATCATTTTCCGAAAATGATTTTTAAATGATCTCTAGTAGAGATTTCCATAGAATTTGAAAATACCAATAATTTTTGTTTTTGTGTACTGTTTGTTTATTATTTGAGTAAAATCTGTTTTTTAATTTTTTTTGGGAATAGCTCTTTTCGTACGCTTCCAAAACGTTTTCCTGTATCTAGCTTCTTCAGTATCAAAAGAGCAAAGTTTTAAGAACCCATATAAGTATTACTGTACAAACACGATTATTATGATAAAGAGATTATCATTAATCTTTCTTTTAATTCAATTAATTTATTTTAAATACAAAAGTATCTAAGATTTACATGAGACTAATTACATATATATTATAAAATATTTAAAAAAAATTGATTATTTTATAAAATACAAATCAAGTTACTTAAAAAGAGTTACTCGATATTTTCTTTTTTTTATGATTTTGAGTCGTAAGAATAAAATCAGTGGACGTTTAAATCGGCATATCTGCGCGCCAAAAATCCTTTGTAAACAATCATAATATACTATTATGTATATAAGTATCTTATTATACTGAAATTTCATTATAACTAAAAGTTTGATAAGATATTAAAATGCTTATCTCTATACCAAATACGTAATGAATTACAAGTACTAAAATA